GGAGTTGAAGTCCACACATCTTAACGTTGCTAAGGTTGAGAAACACTGATATAGAGAGACCACTGCAAAGAAGGCCCCGCTTCCAGCTGCTGCCAGCCGAAACTCTGAAGATCCAAGATCTAGGAACAGAACTTGCCAGGCAAAATAAAGTACCTTAACCCCAAACTCTCAGCGTGCATCTTTTTGCAATCAGACCCCAACTACGGGAAGCAGAATGACTACCGACCAACCTGAGGGCAAGAGTTGTGCATCACTCTTGGGTAGGTTCTGAACTGGACTCTATGAGGATTCACCACCCCCTTCAGCTTCTCTGCGGTGAGAGCTCCAAAGCGCACAGGGATCATGGGATCCATCTCACCATGGCACTGCAGGATGGGAATATCTTTGTTCACACCATTATTTGCTGCCTGCAATCAAAATGAGGGGGAAAATGGCAAAGTCAGTCATGAATCAGCCAGGAACAGATGGAAAGGTAGCATCTTGGATGATCACTGCAAAGGACTGGTTCTATCCAACAGACCAGTGTTTTTCAACCTTGGCAACTTTAAGACATGTGGACTTCAACTCCCAGAATTCCCCAGCCAGCATGGCTGGCTGGGGAATTCTAGGAGTTAAAGTCCACATCTCTTAAAGTTGCCACGGTTAAGAAACACTGCAACAGGCACTGGCTTTTTCTACAAACCAGCCCAGCCTGCGTCTCTCCACCCTCTCCCCAGTTCCAAAAGAGAGGTGAGGCCACATACCTGAGGAAAGGTCCTGTGCAGGGGCAGCCAGCAGCTGAGGGCCACGATGCCAGCCAACTGGTGGGAGCAAGTGAGTGCTGTGTAGAGGGAGAGCGCGCCACCCTGAAGCACAGCCACATCAGAAAACTGGTCAGAGCTCTTCTTCCACCAAAACACCCCTCCCCACACCAATCTATTGCCAACTTAGCCATCTCCTCCCCCAGCGCTGCCCCCCACCACATCACAGCAAGGATCACTGTCCCCAAAGACAGGCTTCAAGGAACCCTTCCCTTCCAATTAATTGCTTTACAGAATGAATCTCAGCACCGGGAAAAAAAAAAAAAAATTAACTGCCTGCAAGTTGAACCTTTTTATACACACGTTGAATGAGATTATTTGACATGAGACCGTTCGCTAAAAGAGAAAACGGAGAATAAATAAGAAAGATGCTGAAAATCCACTCCAAAAGTCCTGCTCTATCCTTAGCTTAAAAGAGCTTGGCAGACGCTACCCCAAAATTTAAATGCCTGTCTCTCAGGAACTTAAGAACTAGAAACATGTTTTATCTTTTTATGACCTAAGTGCATAATCCATGGACCACCAGAACTTAAATACAGCTCCAAATTCCTCCCAACCTCATTGATTCTGCTGCCAGATTTCCTCCCACTCAGCAATTCATTATCAGCATATTGTATCTTGCATCCATTATTACTATTTTTCCTCTACCTGGGAATAAGAAGAAATTTAAGGGGAAGGATAGTGGGTACATGAGAAAGAATTGCGGGGGGAGTTCTCAATTTAATTTTGAACTTAGGTATCAACTGAGAGTTGAAGCGTGTGCTTGTGTTAGAATTGTACAACTCCATTCATTAATTAACGTAACTATTACATTATTGCAATGTAATCGTTGAGATGTTCTCCTCTTTTTATCTTTTTTGGGTGGCCCTGCCTCTTTTGCAGCATGGCCATTCAGATACCGGTGTGACCCTTGGCCTAACAAAGCCGTGCACGTCCCCTTTCCAGTAAAGGAGGATTCAAAATAAGGGCTCCTGGAGCAGGTTTGGGCTCTCAGAAAATCTCGCTTTCTTCACACTTCTGGTGCAACTATGCAGTCAAGACAGACATCCTAAAGGAAGCTGGTCATCTCCATTCCCTGTCCAGGGGGCTTCGCAGGTGGCCCAGAAGCCAGCCTTGAGGTCTCTACTCCCAGCCAGCACACAGACCTGCCTCCTCCACACCCCATCAACTCCCACCTGCGAAAAGCCTCCCAAGATGATCCGGTTGGCTGGGATCCCATTTTTTATTTCGTGTTCAATTACAGCTTTAACTGGAATGCAAAAAGAAAGAAAGAGACATTCAGGTTGGCAGCAAGGTAACACAGACTTGGAACCGGTCATGAAGCAAACAGGTCTGCTAGTATGGAATCATGGCATGGTCTGCTTCACTAGAAATGCTTCCTTTTTGACTTTTAAAACTAAAACCGAAGGAGCTACAGAGTCAGCGCTCAAAGGAAAGGACAGAGGTGCGTGTAAACCAGCAGCATGCTGTGAAAAACCGTGGGAGATGGCTGTGGGGGTTGCAAAAGTCCGCATTAGCACTGGCTCTGGAATTAGCATTCGTGGAATTAGCTCTGGAATTAGCATTAGCTCTGGAGTTTGCCACAGGAAGGAGGCGAGTTAAAAGGACTATGCAGGGTAGAACTCTGCCTCTCTTCTTCAGCCAGCTTTGAAGAACGGGAACTTCTCTGGCCACACTAAGTTGTGGAACTCCCTGCTATGGGAGGCTACAATATTTCCTCTGACAGTTTTTTGCCAGCTGGTGAAGCCCTTACTCCAGGGTTCCTCAACCTTAGCAACTTTAAGATGTGTGGACTTCAACTCCCAGAATTCCCCATCCAGCCATGCTGGGTGGGGAATTCTGGGAATTGAAGTCCACCCATCTTAAAGTTGCTAAGGTTGAGGAACCCTGCCTTACCTAGAAGGCATTTCTCTCACAGAGTAGATACATTTCATTTGATGCTTTTACTTTAGCTCCTTTTACCTGCCTATTGGGTAACTCTTCTTTCCCTTGCAGTTGTTACTGCGCAACATATTAATTCTTGTTCACTGCAGCGAGCAACATAATGAGAGGGATTGTTTTATGTGAATACACAAAATAAGCAAGCAGAGAGTGGGAAAGTGCCAGATGTGCAAGAGTTCCTTGATCTTGATTCTCCTCCTCTCTTTCCTGCTAGCATCAACCTTTAAATGTCTCTTCCGTAGTTTGGGGGGACAATGACATGGTTTCCTGGAGAATGGCCCAGATTCTATCTTCTCGTCTCCATCTTAGATCTGGGAAAGACCCCAGTTAGGAGAAGCCTTTCACCAAACCTGGGGTGCTCCAGATGTGTGGCCTACAGCCAAGGTGCAGGGTAGAGGCAGACTGTTTTAAAGAATCACAGGTACCATGTGGCAGGCAGTTTTCTTTTGGGAGCCAGGGACTGAACCTTTTACAATTTATTTACTTTTTTCCTGGGCTCCAAGGGCAGCGGGAGATACTGGAACATCACTACCAGTATTATTACCATAATGTTGGCCCCTTCTTTAGGGAGGGGCACTTATGGGACTGATCTTTGTTTAAAAAAAAAATGAAGGCAGCTCATTAAATGCATTAGAAACTTAAGACACCTATTTTGTATCATTCCATGTGCATACAGAAAAAAAAAATCACATTAAATTTAGGCAGCATAATCGGCAAGTGACGCAGGGTCCACAAAAAGGAGGCTGTGGGAAGTCACTAGGATCATCTGAATTGCCCAACCTGGGTGTACATTATTTTGGGATAAGAGCCTGACATAACGAAGGCAACTTTTGTTCTAAAAGCAAGGTTACATGCGCACCAAGACAAGTTGGATTCCCTCCAGCCCAAGGCTTCATTCTGTTTTCTGTTCAGATTTATGATCTGCATGTCTGCACATTCCCAAGGACTGCCTACGTTATTCAAAAGGTAGCCTCCAGAGTCCCAGTGTTCCCTCTGCACCCAGCTGGAGAATCTTGACATCTGGCTTCTGCGATATTCAAGAAGTTGAATTTTTCGGGCCATTTCACTGGCTTTACTTTTTGCATAAATCAGGCAGTAACTGCCAAAGCAGAAGGGGCTCACAGCGTTCCTTATAGCCCTGGGGAAGGACCCCAACCACCTTCCTTGGTTTCCAAGCACTGGCAATTACGAGTGAAAGAAATATGGGCTGACTTTGGAGATCCCCAAGAAAACACCTCTCTTACTGTTCTCAGCAGCTCTTTTAATTCCGTTTTCATCTTCTGGTGCATCTGGACTTAGCCCCATTAAATCAAACCTGAAATGGGGGGAAAAAGGGAAAGTCAGCCACTGTCCTGATCGTCTAAGATGCTAACCTAAGGCCAGGTAAGTAAGCTGATTGGAGGCACAGCATTGTGGGGCAGTGGTAACTTGGCTATACCACATGGAACTCCAGCAGCAGCATTTGGAAACGGGCAAAATTCCATCTACCTCTCAGCATCTCCCAGCTGTCTGCTGATCTGATTTCTGTCCCACCGGAGCTTAAAAAGAGGCATCGGCTGACCAAATCTCTTCTACTTCTGGGTGAATACATGCCAGTCTATGACTGTAATCAAGATTGATCTGATTTGGTGTGTGTGAGTAGGATTCATGTCATTGCCCAGAATGGAAGATAAGAGCTACAACTTTCCCCCAGGTATTCTGCATGCCCTGCAGACATGCTACGATTGTAGCTCCCACCCCCCCACACCCAATTCCCCAGCTGGCTCTGTCCCACGGTCACAATATATTTGGAGGGCAGCAGTTTGGGGAAAGCTGAATTGGAAACTTTATGGCCTTGAAAAAAGGCCAAGAAAACTAGTGAAAAATCCAATACATAGAACTCTGCTAAGATGATTACAAGGCCGTGTACAGACTGGCTGTATTCACACCACACACTGTGAATACTTCCACAGTAAATTCCATGTTTTTCTCCAAATTTCCACCAACCTCTTAGCTTACTGCCTTCACCTTTTCCTTCACCACTTCACCTGGGTCTTTCCTCATTGTTCCTAGGGGCAGTTCCTAGATCAGGAGAAGGGTTTAGCTGTTAATAATCCAAGGAATATTGTTTAGTACTAACCAGGAGGGCATAACCATCTTCATGTTGAGAGTGACAGGGATCCTGGGTCTGCAAAGAGAGAGGTGAGATGGACTAAAATTCTAGCAGCACCACAGGTCAGAAGGCTAAGGAACCAGAAATGATGCAGAAATATCAAACTTAAAAAAAAAACACCACCAAGGTTCTTGGAATTCTTCAAAGCTGTGCGCTAAGTCAAATCTACACATGTGCACACAGCATCAGGGCTCCAGTCTAGATCTGCCCCATAAAACTGGCAGCTGGAAAGACCCTCTGCAGTCTTTTCCCCAGGTCAGGTTTGTAAGACAACAGAAAGCAAAGCCGCTCTGCTTGTCCCCTCTCTATTCCACTCAGAGTCCCTGCTCGCTCAAGCAGTGTTTGGTGTGGTTGCCTAGTAAGCTATCCTGGGATCTGACCATTTGGGGACTGACTTGATCCTGGGCTTGCGCTTTTGCTAGGAAACAGCTGAGAAACACACCGCCATTTCTTTCTTTTGACCCTGCCATCAGCACCACTGGCTTCAGGGCTGGGGAACATCTGCCTATTGACCATTGCTGAAGCTCAAGCAACAGGACCGGCAGCAAGTTGCCCACTTGGAATCAGCCACAGAATGAGCTGGAAGAACCACCGAGGCAGTTTTCTAAGGTAAGGAGAAGAGCATCGAGAAAAGCAAGAGGTTGGTGGCAGGTTCAAGGCACAGCTCTGGACACTTTCCAGTGGCAATCTCCCATATTTACTAACAGTGTATGTGAGGATGAAGCAGCACTGTGCAGTCCCTTTGGAGCCCCCAACATATTCTGGCCTTGCTGTTTGCCTGTTCAGGACCAGGAGGTATTCAGGTGGGAAATGCATTCCTGCTCACTATCTTGCACATCAACTCCCTGTCCATTTCAGCAGATGAATCTCCATCTTGGTTGCTAACAAGGTCTCACATTTGGAATTCTGTACATGGCCAGAGAGCTGGGGCTCAGTTGGGGCTTTGTGACTGTCTGTATTCAAGACCCCTAGTCGCTGTTAACGGGGAGGAGAAAACAATGTCAAAACGTACAACTTCAGGCAATCATACAGAATAAACCAATTATTAATGAGACTCCTTGGCACAAATTACATCACCCCCTGCACACACTTCCAGCCAATGAGCTCAAGCCTAAAGAAGTTCGGAGGAGGTAAATTCTTTTTTTTCAGTCTATTAAGGAAGCAGGAGTGAAAAAATGGGGGGGGGGTTTCGAGAAAAAGGCTACAGGATCAAAGGGGAGATAGCAAGAGCTACAGCTCAGTATTTTAGCCCCTAGCCTAAGCATTAGCTTGCCGGCTTCTAAGACCCACACATCTGGAGCAGTAGAGAAGCATCACTTATAGCTGGGAAAACCTAACAGATCAGAGTGACGTGCGATAAAGCAGATACTGGAAGTATATGCCAATTTCTGAGCTATGGAATGCCTCGGCTCCAATTCTCTGCTTACAACCTGCCATCCTCTCACTTGCTGATGCTGTTCTCTCCTGATCTGGCAGCACCCTTTTCACATAGCAACATCTAGCCCTGCCCACTATCAATCTTTCCATCTTTGGGTTAAGATAATGCTAGGAGCCCTAGTATATTGCAGGGTTATGGCGAATGAATCTCCTGGTAGTCTTTTACTGCTTTTTAGGTAGTGGTGGGTACAAACATCTATCATTATTATTAGTATTATATAGCCGCCCATTCTGGGCAATATTAGGTTATTGCATTTCTTGTAATGAAGGTTATGTTGATCGCACGCTGCCCTGAAAGCCATGGAATGAAGTGCAGACATATTTTACTTAGAAACAGGGGTGGGCAACTCTTTTCAGTCTAGAAGCTGCACTCCATCTTTCTGCCCTGCCCAAGAGCCGCAAAAGGTGTGGCCAGCGATAGCAGAACATTGCAAAACAGGTGCTTTTATGTTTCCAGAGGTTTTCATCCCTCGGTGGGAAAATCAGCAAATTGGGGATGAAGTTCAGCGTCTTTAAGCTTGCATTCTAACAAAGAACAGTGGCAATGGTGTACTTACGCGTGAGGGCAAATGTATTTCACGTAAGGGAGCCGGATGGAAGACAGAGCATCAGCCCAGCTGTGCCTGAAGGGGGAAGGCAAAAGAAAGCAAATCAGATCACCCTCCAACATAAAAATGAAAAGGTGAACCTTTTTTGCTGCCCCAACCCCACAGGCTCATTCTGTCCCAAAAAAAAAGGGCAGTTGTGAATGCGCCCACAGCTGCCAATTGCGATAAGCATCTGTGTGTGGTTTTCCCAAAGAGTCAAAATAATTCCCAAACTCTGCATCAGTGAGAACAGCCTGGTAAGCGAGGTTAGCACTATCCTCATATCACTGCCACATTCAGACATCTGAGCTCCCCCGAACCCGCATGAATATGCAGGAAGATTGACGCATATACTTTTTAAAAAAAAAAATTCAGAGACTGCAGTATCCTCCAAGCAAATCTGAATTAAAAGTTGGCATGTTCTGCTCAACAAAGATTCCACTGGATGGGTTCCACCCTGTTCTGGAAAGGCAACCAATCCTCCCAATTGTTTACACCAGGAATATACAATCTAATCCCCTTCAAGCATTATAAATGTCATGTCCTATCAGCATGGCCAGTGGCAAGTAATTCTGGAAGTTATCATCCAAAACATCTCTGGCTTATTCCTCTTGCTAGCCTTGCTCAGTTGCTTATACCCTACATGTCTCTCTCAGCCTGGCACAGCAGCACTGTGATGGAAAGAGCTATTTCTGATTTCTTGGGGAGAAGACCTGCAAGAAGGGCCCACTAAAAGGCCAGGTTAGGAGTGTGGTGGACCATTCCGGAAACAGAATACATTCTGTTAATTGAATGGTGGGATTTACATCTTGCCCTTTTGCCGATGGATGGTATCCAAGGATTTACTGGTATAATGAAAATCATAGGCTTAAGTCCTCAGAGGACTCAGAAGGGCCCTTGAGTGAAACCTTGGAGACGTGTTTCCTTCAGTACAGATCCAGAGGCAAGTGACTCTTGAGGACAGGGTTGCAATTCAGTCTCCTGATCTCTAGGACAACCCATGTAGGAATATTACCAGAAGATGCAGATCCTGTTTTTGGAATGAGGGTGGGTTTAAGGGCAAAAATAGGAAACTGCTGTATGGGGGGTTGATTTGAGATTAATTTTTTGTAGCTAGAGTGATATACAGGAGGAGATGGAATCAGTCTGCTTCCCATAAGACTCCTGCTCCCCTTCTCTTAATCTTTAAGAGTAATCTTTAAACAAACCATCAAACAAAAATGCTGCAAAAATGCATCCATTTTTAAATCAAATTGGCTTGTTGGGAAGCTGCATTGGCCCACAATTGCTAACTCCTGCACCAGATGGACCAACAGCTTCCTAAATTCTTTCCTATACAAAACTAGATTCTAAACTCAGAAGTTATCTTCATTTCAGCACCTTCTCGTTCCAGTCCTGCTCCTGTAAACATCCTGCTCCCCATGTTGGCTACAAGACTGACATTTCACACTTACTCCCAGCACCTGATCTCTCCAATCCAGGGTTGTGAAATGGAGAGAGATTTTTGCTTCCCCCACCAGCACAGCTGTACAGCCCAGATTTCTCCAATACTCACCCTGTGTCACCAAGCCCATGCAAAAAAATGACCTGCCAAATCAAGCAGAAAATAAGCACATTAGCCAGCTCAGCAAGTGAGAAAGTGCTAGCAAGGCTAATCAGGAAGCGTTCTGTGAGGTCAATTAGTGGCAAAACAAAAACAGGTTATGGAGAAGGGAAGAAGCAGGAAGCACCCAACCTAAGGTGGTTAGGACAAGATGAAAATGGAGAAGATGCATGTGACTGAATCCATTTGTGACCAAGTTACCATCCCATCATGATGCCTTCCCCCCACCAAGAAGATGATTCACTGGAAAAAATATGCAAATATATCTGTCCCATTTTGATTACATTTCACTAAATGAGGAAAGGTCCCTCATCTGGAATTTCCATGCCTAGGTAAGAAACCTTTCTCCCTACCTGGCACCAGCTGGGCCAAATCTATTGCCATCTGTGAGTTAATCTGACAGGCTGCTATCACCTGCTTCTCCCCAACTCCTTCCTAGTTCGTTCTGATTTTCCACTCCTGTCCACCAAAGCAAGTTATAAAATGATTTTACCAGAGCAAGAGCACAGAATTCAGCTCCCTGATAAATGAAGCTTCTACTATTATAGAGAACACATTCCCTATAGACTATGGAAGGGTACACAGAAGCAGTGGGCAGTGCCTGATGAAATCCCAGAAGGCAAAGGAGCCATTTCCAGGAACCCTTAGAGAGTCATCAAGCTTTACTCATGGCACAGATGTTGAGATCTGGTTTAGTTCAAGTCAGTAAGGAAAACATTCAATTTTTAATGTAAAACTAATTTTGGGGACTCTATGTTTGTGGCAGAAAAGCAAAAACGTTTATATCTTATAGGGTCCACCTCCCCATCCTTGGTCACAAATCCATGTTAGAAAACCGTCTACTGCCTGAGTTTCATCCTTCATATAATCCACTCCTTCTCTTATCACTGTTCTTTGCCAAAGACATTTCAAATTCTATAACCACTTTTCCCCATCTCTGATCAACATATATTATCAACCAATACATATCTGAACAAAATATCTCAACATTTCAGTATTTCTCAATTGAATTCCACAGTATATGGAAGTTGGCACTTTGATAATTCAAAATTCCAAGAGTTCTAATAGCCCCAGAACATTGAGCACCTCCAAAATTTCATACCCATTCCCTCCTACTTTTCTACCAGTTGCTACATACACTAAAATTATAACTCCCTTTTAAGTGTGTTATGTGTATTTGCATAATATCCTAGAAAAGAATACAGGTAGTCCTTGACCTATGACCACAATAAGGACCGGAAAATTCATCGTTAAGTGGTGTGGTCATTAAACAAGGCATCACATGACTGCACCCAATTTTACAACATTTTTTTGCAGCAGTCTTTAAGTGAATCATGTGGTTCCCCATTGATTTTGCTTGTCGGAAGCCAGCTGGGAAGGTTGCAAATATTGATCACATGACCCTGGGATGCTGCAATCGTCATAAATACAAGCCAGTTGCCAAGCACCCAAGTACTGATCATGTGACCGCAGGGATGTTGCCATGGTTGTAAGTGCAAGGACTGGTTGTACGTCACTCTTTTCAGTGCTGTCGTAACTTTGAACAACATTTGAAACGAATGGTTGTAAGTCAAGGACTAGCTGTATGGGTGTCCCAGTGCTGGAATTGTACTGCTGAATTTGAGACTTAACTGGTCAAATTCAGGATTCATGAATCTGTGGTATCTGCTCAATAGCCACACAAGTGCAGAATATGATACAGCGTACAGGGTTTACCATATAAGCATCTCGGACCACTTAGTTTTGGAGAGGCTAATTGCTAATTCCTAAGACCAAGAAAAATTAAAATGAAGGATCTGCTGACTGGATAGCACTAACAGAAGTCAGGAAGACGCAGCTTCAGTGCCAAGAGCACCTCCATGGCTAGGTTCCCATCCCCACACTCCTCAGGCTAGATTCTGGAAGCAGAATTATATAAAAGAAGCCAATCTTGGGAAACACATTCGATCTTCATATTTGTCCTAGCTGACTTCAGATCTTGGTGAAGGGGAAAGTAACATTCTCTCTTCCTCTCACAGAGGCAAGCAATATATTTTAGGCGAGATTGGATGGCACAAGTGCAGGCAAGGCCAGCAATGAGACTGAGGATTAAAGTAGTTTTGGAGCTGTGTGGTGTCAGTTCACTGCTACAGCATTACCAAGCGCAATGGTTCACCACAGCAGCCCCACAACTGGAGGAGGGGAGGGGAAGAAGCAAGTTTTAGTCAATTATTACCTAATTAGTACAAGAGAACAGCACTGAGGGCAACACAGTAGGATACAGTTGGACTAATTACCTGCCAGAGGCAACGGAGTTGTTTTTGCACAGGTCCTACACAAACAACATTTTACAGTTTATTGGAAAGGAATGAAACTGATTTGATCTCCTTCTGTAGCCCCCGCCCCCAGGCCTTCACAAAAGCTGATACCAAATTCTTATCACCACCACTACCTCCTTTTCCTAAACAGTCTCCCCATAATGGGGAGAACAGCCCCTTTGCCTTCAGTGTCAGCAGAGAGGATGGGCTAGAGGAGAAAAACGCATTAATTCCCTAAGCTTTCTGGATCCCAACAGATGGTAAGCCCAAAACAGCATGTCCTTACCGCTGCAGTCTCCCGCTCTGTCCCTGAAACGGTCACAGCATCAGCAAGGAGGGGGACAGACATGTTGTTACCGCACATACAACTATAACAGTTCGCACCTACAGAAGACAAGAAACACACAGTTGATTAATTTATTTAAATCAGCCTCCTACAGCCTGATGTCTTCAAATGCTGGCTGGGAATTTTGGGAGCAGAATGCCTCTTGCTGGCATGTTAAATACTTAATTTACACATAATTTTTAATGTAAGAAATACTCCACAGCACTTACCTTTTAGGAATTGAGAGTGGTGCTGTAAAGTAAATCACTTTAGGATCCAGAAGATTAACAGCTTCCTATCAAGTCCCTGGAAGTTCACCCTCAAACTCCTTCAGTTTATGCTTGGTCCATAAATAATGAGGGACAGAAGTTTGCTTTTTTAAAATGTATTTTTATTTTTTCATTTCTAATGAAATCCAGCATTTTCTGAGTAACAATTGTAACCCAGAACATTCATGTTTAAAGAGTGCCTTTGGCTGATAGAGCAGAAAATATAAGTTGCAGTCAACTACTCTGAAGAAGGTGCTGGTCTAGAAAACGTGTTTCACAAAGCCCCAACATAGCTCATAGCAAAATCCAGCCCAGCTTTGAAAATATTTTATATTTCTCATAACAGTATGTTTCAAAAAGTTCACAAGGATACTATTAAAACTCTTGAACAATTTCTAATGCTAAAAAGAGAACTGTGCTACCTAGACTAGAAGCAAAATTTGAACAGATGCACCTAATGTTCAAAACCTGAAAATGTTTTAAAGCCCCATCCAGTTGGGGCAATAAGACTTTCCCTTATACAGGAATATTAAATATAAAATGAAAAGCACTCCAAGGTGTCTCAGTTTTCGCTGCAACTGGACAATGACCTACATGCTGGGATTAAGATTAGTCATAGGTATTAAACATTACATGTTCAGCATATTTAGATTAGCTTTCCCATATTAGTACCCTTACCGGTATGTGGTTGAGAACTATATCTGTTGAAGTCCAACTGGCAGCTTCAGACTGGGAAACATTTCTCTAAACAAATTATTCATTTGCTGAATTGCTCCCAAGGCCACTTTTTTTTTTAAATTGTATTTTATTAAAGGTTATTTTTCCACTTCCTGTATGTATCTATAAACTGTAAATAAACTATACGTAGAAAGAAAAGTGAATGAGAATATAGTCTCAAAAGATAAAAATTCAAAACATAGCTAGCTGCACTTAGAAATATATCTTTAGAATAACCTTGTTTTCTGGTATATAAATATATATGTAGATCAGTGTTTCTCAACCTTGGCAACTTTAAGATGTGGAGTCCTTGGGGTTCTCTGAGCTTGGTTGTTTCCTTGCAAACGTTTCGTTATCCA